GTATAATGTTTGTCCAGAAGAGGCACATAATTTGAAAGTAAATTTCTTGTCGAGATCACTTTTTTATGGGAGATTAACTACACCTAATAATAATCCCAGTGATATTGATGTCTTTCAATTTGGTATTGATGAAGGAGGAATTGTATTTAAATAAAATTCTTAGAGACTCAATAATTGCTATCGGCCGGTGATCATAAATAGGGTCGTTTTATAGTAATGATACGTGTTAGATAATGTCTGCTTCAATTCGTATCGGCTACAGTTCTTGTAAATAAAAATTTTGTATTTATTACAACTGGTGATATCACGGTTTATTATGCAATGATAACTGAGTCATTCTTGGCAATGACAATGGTGGCGAGTAACGTACATCCTTTAAAAACATATTTGGTTAAAGTCACGCCATACGCGTTCCGAAATAATACGTATTTCAGCATATGTACAGTACTTTGGTTCTAAGAATTGACTCTTTATTTTGAAATAACATGAATGTATAAAAATTGAAAAGAGAAAATCCAAGATTTTTGATTCTTGCTAGTAAATTAACATATTACAATTAGGGTTGTATAACTTAAATGATTATTATTTTGAAAATTTTGACTAAGTAAACATATAAAAATTGCTTGTAAGTTAATATTTTGAAATTTAATGTAAATTTACAACCATAGTTAAAATTATATGACCTATCGCTACGTGTAGCGACACGTAGTAATTTATATAAATTAGCCAATTTCCATAAATAGAATTGATTATCACATTCTTTCACACATATATGTATTATTAAGGTTTCGCTTTCTTTATATTTCAGTATTTCAATTAGAAGGGATAAAAAATGGCCGATAATTTGCTGGATCCAACTTGTTCTCTTTGAGAGGCAAGGTTGTATTGATAACAGGTGGTGGAAGAGGAATCAATAAAATGATAGTCAAGGGCGCTCGTACGGAATGGAACTTGAGCTTCTAGAAAAAAAGAAATTCTCGATATTGGGTTAGTTTATTGACCTTTATGCAATATGATTTTTGCGTTACGACCTTTTTTTTCACCTAAAGTTGCTGCCGAGCTAAATGCATTGGGTCCGGGAAAGTGTTTGGAATTGTCAACTCTAAGGAAGCTAGGAAGCTTGTGAGACTTGCGACCGAAATTGGGATCGCGAAAAGGAAATTTTGATATTCTAGTAATTAATTCTGGGACAGTTTTTGATGGAACATTATTCGACTTTCCTGAAGAATAGTAGGACAATATTTACAATTGAATGTTAAAAGTGTATTTAATCTGACGATCGCGTGAGTTTTATAATTTCTGGATGAACAGTGACACTATCGCTATTATTAAGTCTTACGGAATATCAGATGTTTTTCATTGCTAGAAAAGGCATTTCGGATAAATCATATCGATCGTTTTTAATTTTTACCGTTACATATTTCATTCATAATTCACAAACCCAATATTAATTAACTTGCCTAAATTAGGTGTAGGCGAAGGTGATCTCAGAAGGATAGTTGAGCTAAACGAGTTATCTCGGTGGTTTATAATAATTCTAAGCTGCAGTCCACAGTATTGTACGTAGTTCATTTTACGTATGTACAGTACGTACGTTAGTCATGTAAAATATAGGTAATGGAATATTGTTAATCCACATATATTCGTGGTGTCGATGTTAATGCGATCGCTTCCGGAGTGATTTTCACCAATATGACGTCTGATAAAGAAACTCAAGCTTGTATTTCGGAAGTTCCACCAGGTAAATAAATTTTATTTTTAATATTGGCATTTTTGTTTAATAATTTAAACGATTGCAGGTCGTTTAGGAGTTGGATCTGATATTGCAGGATCAGCATTGTTCCTAGCTTCACATGCTGGTAGTTGGGTATCTGGTATTATTATACCAATGGATAATGAGACGTTGAGATCCACTTAAATCACGTGCTATTAAACAGTTGATAAAGATTATTTACCCTAGTGTTTCGACCGAAACTGATCCAGTTATAATAAATTTATATAGTATTGATATATGGATCATGACCCATATAATAAATTTACTATGACCGAGTCAGTTTTGTCAACCCCATTGTAGGTTTTGGAAGGTAAGTATGCAAAATGTGTAGTATAAAAATAAGCAAAGAAAGTTTTAAACCAGCTGCTGTTTTCAAATGTTCAGAATCTAGATTTGATAAACAAATATACTGTATATTTTTTTAAGTAAGTGATTCTAGAAAACTTATTAACATTGTAGCTGGTTTTTTTGATTTCATTATCACATGAAAGCTTGAGTTTGTTAAACAAGATGTACGTATGAATTCAATTAAATAAGATTATATTTCATGCATACGATTAAAATATTTAATATTTGTATGATGTAATTTAATTAAAATCACCTTATTTGAATCATCATTTCACAAAATAAACTTGTTTTCAAAGTTGGAGAAAATTACATAATTCCAAGTGAAAAAAAAATCTCATTTCGCGGGTAATGAAATACAAATTACAAGGGTTGGTTCTAGTTTGAAGGCCCTTGCATATTGTTATTTTAACATATGATAACAAGTTCAGCCATGAATGGGTTATATAGAAACGCAACGGGTCAATAATCAACCGGAAAATGGAAAAGATCAAGGTGGCTTATTGTAAAAGAGACTAGAAAAATTTGGCAATACTAACAAGGAAAAGAAATGCGGGGATCTGTAGTGCAGTCTCATTTACCAAATTTGATGTTGCGAGCATATGAAAGAGCAGCTTTCCCCAATAACTTGTTTCCGATTTTATTTTTAGAACGACATTATACATTGCAATCATTATTTAATCATCACTCCGATCGATACTCCGACCTTAACGGTTTTTGGACTTTTATGTTCGCGCTCTTATAATAAATCAATGGGGCATTAGGTATCGGTTATCAATTCAAAAACTTAATCAGATAAAGTATCACATATCAGCTGCTTGTTGTTACACATTCTACTTATATCTCATTTGATTCAAATGATCAGTTATTGTAAAAATTCATTAACTGCTTATCACATATTAATCATATTAATCCAAAATCACCCCGCAAGTTGAGGACTGTTGTGGTACTCTCCGTTCAGTGTTGTTCAGTGTTCCAGCTTTAGTTCATGGTAATAATAGATTCTAAATACCCCTTAGTATCTTATCGTGTGTATATTTCTCGACAAATACCACTATCGTTACTTCTAATTCATTATTTCTTCTGTTCTGTTTTAAAGTTCGCTGTAGCACAATATCTTATTTTTTAAAACATCTTTTGTACTATTGTTTATGATAAAATAATCCCTCCCTTTGAAAAGGTCTGTCGCCTTTGTCTCACATTTGTGAATAATAATTATGGATACCATACCACAATATTATCAACCTGATAACATGTCTATGAGCAAAGAACCGTCACAGCTTTCGTCAAATTTCGTACAACCAGAGTTATCGCAATTACATACCTATACACCTATGACCGACACCGGTTACCCTTCGGATCAATTTGGAATGCAAGACTCCGTTCCAGTTTCTGAACCTCCACCTTATGATGGTCTGTATGCTCTTTTCATTTTAAGGACATATGTTCATGTTAAAAAATGAATTTTATGTCTTGGTTGAAATCTTTCTTTAATGTATTAAATAACACGTGTTAATTGTGTTAATTGTGTTAATTATAAAAATTTTATATAGAATTCACTGGTTATAATTGGGTACCAGCGGAAATGGCTACTTTTTTTCCTCCTGCAACTGATGATTTTGGTCAAAATCCTCTTTTAAATTCCTACGATGAGGAATTTATATTTAAAGGTTTCCTCGATAATATTCAAGAAAATCCAAATTTTATTTTTAATCCAATACTACCAGGAGACATGCCCGCGTATCCTCCGCCTGATAATGGTATAAATAATTCCATTCATCCTATGGGTACACCATCTGTCATCAACAACGTGTATAACCCTTCGCAAAGTCATCCTTCTGACATTTTGGCTCGTCATCAATTTCCTCCTTCAAATTCAACAAGTTTATCCCCTCGCACATCAAATATCACTCTTTCTCCCTCTCCAAAACATTCTCCTAATGAAATTAGGCAATCTTCATCACAGTTAACATCTCCAATTGATGACAAAGATAAATCGGCGACTCCATCTGTACCTGCAAAACGTAAACAAGATGGTGAAGACAGGACTAGGCGCCGGCCGTCCAACCCTCGTCTAAGTCCCATAAATACTAAACTCATTATGACTCAATCTCATAGTTCTACTTCAAGTCCTAGGCCGATTTCCCCATCTATGCAATTGTCTAATCTTTCAATTAATAGTGGTAACACGAATCATAATTCTATCGAAAATGATAATGATAATGACGAAAGTCCTGGAAATACTCCAAGCAGTAGTAATAATTGCTCTCCATCACCACGAACCCCAAATAGAGAATTAACAAAGAGTGAAGAAGAAAATGCTTCTTTGAGTAATCTTGCTGAGACTGAATCAAATGATAATGATAACAATATCGATGATTATGTGGAAATAAAATCTGAATCAAAACCCACTCCTCAAAAATCAAGTAGAAAACCTTATAAAGAACTCCTTACTGAGGAGGAAAAACGAGCGAATCATATCGCTTCAGAACAAAAACGAAGAAACACAATTCGTGCAGGTTTTAAAGAATTAACAGACATTATACCTACCTTAAAGAATGTGAATAATTCAAAGAGTACAATATTATTTAAGGCTGTGGATTATATAAAATATTTAGAAAGGAGA